ATCAGGACGCTAAAATGATTCTACAATTTCGAGTGCCAAGTCTTTGGAACGGAGCCATACACAGAGCAAAAAAGGGGTGTCATATTCTGAGTGATACCATACGAACATATCGCATCTTTGGAAGAAGCTTAACACACAAGGGTAACACTCGCATAAAGTACACGTATGTTGATCATGCCTCGACCAGCTTTCTGGTGGCAATTCTCATCCTCTTCCCAAACAGCCATAGAGGAATCGTCAAAAGAGAGAAAATTCCCATCAGCATTCCAAATACACCAAAAGGTTCCGAAGTTCCCTTCTCCTCGACCCAATGCGCGACAAAGAAAGTCCACGCAAATGCGATAATTGCTCTCATGATCGTGACCATGACGAAGCAATCGCCAGCAAGTTGCTGATACGCATCGATGAGCTATAGTTTCTCAGGTTAGAAATCTTATTGCTTGACACGAAAGCACGCGTGTGGGGGATGCCTATACTTACGTAGTTGAAGCCGACGGATGGCAGCTGCATAAGACCAAACGACACCATGGCAAATCCGGCAGAGAGACCGACCCAGCCATTCTTGGACGGGTACTGTCCCGTGAAGCCAAACACGAAGAACCCGCCCGTGGCGATGACGAGCGAGGGAAACATGGTCGGCAACCTGCTCTCCGCTTCCGCCAGCCCGCTGCCCGAACTCTTGACCTTCTTCTTCAGCTGAGCGTCGGCAAGGAGGTACGTGTACAAAGCGCCCAAGCCGGTTCCGATGACGCCTCCAATGTTGATCAGCCCGACGTTGGCGCCCCAGAGGTACGGCGGTGCCGCCACGAGCTGGGGCCCGACCGTAGAGATGGTGACGATGCCGCCGACGAGGCCTGCGTAGTGAAACATGACTACCCAGGTGCCCGGTAGTCTCAAAGTCTTCCAGGGGGCGAGGAATTTGCTCAAGACGCCGCCGCGATAGTGGGCGAAGCCCAGAGACCGCCCGAAGGTGAATGGACGATAGTCTAGCACCTGGCTCTGCGCGTCCTCGACGTGGCTTTCCATGCCCTTTTCGTCAATGGGCGACTGGCCTGCGGCGTCGAGGTTGGGGGATACGACGCGGTCATAGAGAGTCTCGGGGACGAAGAAGAGGGTGGTGACGAAGCAGGCGGCAGAGAGGGCTATGCCGACATAAAAGATATAGAACCAGCCTAGTTGGAAGCCGATATACCCGCCCGCTATTCCGCCGATTAGAGAGCCGCCCGCGAGGAAGACGGTGTAGATGGCCTGAGTGAGAGAGTTGGTACGTCAGCAAAAGAACACTTCTCTTTTTCTATTTCATCGCACAGGTTTGGGGGTTATCTTACCATGGCACGCCCTCGCTCGTCAACGAAAAAGACCTCTCCGATGAGTGCCGGGGCGACAGACTCTGACGCACCGGCTCCAATGCCTTGGAACAATCTGGAGACGAGAACACCGTTGTAGGTTGTTGAGACAGCGCACGCAATAGTGCCGATTGTCATGAGGAGCGTTGCGGCCAGCAGCACAGGTCGTCGACCGAAAATGTTCGAAAGAGGGACCCACCAAATATTGGACGCTCCGAGAAACAGAATATTGACCTGTAAGAAGCAGATCCATCATCAGCTGAGTTCGCCAACCAGAGACCAGCGTGTGAAGACAGGAATGGACGCACCGCGATAAAGTATGTGAGGTCACTAAAAGGCCTGACGTCTGTCGGGAAAGCCTTGAACCATAGTTGCAACGCCGGCGCGATGCCCGAGCTGGTGAAGTTGCCGGCAAAAGAGTATAGTGAGACAGTCAACAGTAGTGCGAATTTGCGCCATTGTGCCCAGTTGAGAGGGTCTGCTGGGTCTTCTGATGGTTGTGGGAATCGTCTGAGAGAGCTAGAAGATCTTGGTGACCCGCCGGAAGACTCGTCTTCAACTGCGAAGAAAATCAGTTGTCAGCAAATAGTCCAAGTATTGTTCCACAAAAATCGCGTCGTGGAGTATCAATAACGCATTGCCTGGTCCAGCGCGGCTCCAACAATGACTCTGTTCAATAGTGGAGGAACTCACCTATCAACCTTGCCGTCCCAGGCGGTGTTGCCCTAGCGACTTCCTCCTTGCTTAGGGCAAACGCATACTTCCAGCCCGACATTCTCTTCTGCCTTCTTGATTGGGTGAAAGTGGGTTGATTTTCTTGATCAAGTTGGTTACTGGTGTCTAATGTGCACGTCGACCTTTGGAGAATCGCCCCTAAGTCATCAGAGTGAGATGGTCTGATGTTCGTATGATTCCAAACTCTCGCTTCTGCACCGTCCTTTTCAATAATTCCCTTCCATTGTCTAACTTGACTCTCTGGGGTTGGGCCGAATAGCGTTCCACCGACACTACCCCAGATTCCCCCCCGGAATATCCACTGGGGGTCACAACCATGCAACCTTAAACTGCATAGCTGCCGGAGTGGGGGACGAGGGGGTTCCGAGGTGGGGGACTTCAGCGCCGGCACATTGTGACGGTACTATCTTGGAAGAGCGGAATAAACTTTAGAAACCACCTCACATGGACCAAAGTTCAGAGGATATACCTTTAATATCGTTATGACAATGGATTGTTCGCTATTCTAGATCTGTCGTGCTGTGTCGGTGTTGATGCAAGCTTTCCCAGCACCGATATGTTTACACTCAAAACAGCAGGTCTTTAACACACCACACTCCATGCCCCAGTCAAGCTCAAGGAACAGTGAACCAGATACTTGCGAACGAGCCAAGCGAACTATTCCCAGACCGGCCTTTGGCCCTAGTAAAGACCAATCAGAGCACAAGAAACAGACATGACGTTGCACTAGTTAACTAGAACCGGCCCCGCTAGTTGACCGGGTAGGGTGGGGTGCCGAGATCAAAGCTGAGGAGGTTGGCGCTCTCCCTTTCCATGGTAAAGACCACATCAGTCTCTTGATGTAGATCACGCTGGTTTAGCGGTAACATTGGTTTCAGATCGAGAAGGTTTGACTGTTTTGCGGCCCGATTCAGGGTACACATATGGCTGTGAGCATTAGGGGCAGGTTAATGCTGATGCGTCATTCAATTTTTCACATGTGGCGATTGAGTCAAGCAAATAACAAGAGGCAAGTCTCCAAATTATCGAGCAATTTGCACATCGTTTTGAGTTCATTCCTCGATCCCTCTGGACTCCCAATCAGCCGGGTATGATAGGGTCTATCGTATGAATAGTTTGGCTCACCAGAGTTCAATTAGCTACCCCGGATTCTCCGGACTGACTTTGCGGGGTTTGGCTTTTCACCCGTGATCCATATCCGCAAGTACAAGATCAAAACGAAAGTTTAGCTAGCTTAACAAGACCACTTCTTCAAATCAAGAGACTAGCAGCTGTGAATTCCATTAGCTCAAGATTCATGAGCGTCCATTCTCGACGCCACCGTGCCGAGGCCCGGGACCCCGGCCACGCCAGGATCACAGCCTCAAACCCCACGCTCACTACAACACGGGTGTGCACTCTGTATCTCAGATTCCTTGGCCGCTTCTTGGTCCATGGCCCAACGACTGAGAACGCAATCACGCCTCCCCCCCCCCCCCCCCCCCCCCACACGCGGGCGGGGCGGCGGCGGCCCCCCCCCCCACCCCCCCCGCCCCCCCCCCCCGGGGGGCCCCTGTGTTTCCCATCTCTGCGGCCCCCTTCTGCCCGCGCCCACACCGGGAACGCAAACCCCCCCCCCCCCCCCCCCCCCACCGTTCCGGAGATGAAAACTGGCGTGTCGAGACGGCGGACCGCTATCAGGTGGCTAGTCAGAGTGGCTCATACACTTCACCTCGCGAAGTAAGCCAATCCAAGCGACTTTTAACTTGTAATGTAGACTGCATTATTCACCGCCGAGAGACTTGGCGGGTACGATGATCCGCATCTAGGAAAATCACACCTCCACAGACCTGGCCGACGGGATGTAGCACTGATTTAGCTGCCGACAAGACGTGTCCGTGGTCCTTTAGGTGGCAGCTGTAAGTGATGAGAGGGATATTTAGCAAGGCAGCGTACTTACCGTAGATCTTGTCCCTTCAATTGCGGCAAGGGAATACGCGAGCCCAGTAAGCCTTTCTCGCCCTCGTCTCTCTTCCACCTATCAGCAAAGAGATTTCGGGTACAGATTTCCCTGCTAGCGCGTAGGAATTTTGACTAAAATCGGGAATGCGCAGAGAGAATGGCATGAATGCGGGAACCGGCTGGACTGCATTCAATAAAGTGGAAATCTTCCAAGACGACCAGCAACAAACCTTGCCCACCCTGCCGTTCGTGAACCGGGGTGAATATTACTTCACCAACTGTTGCTGTTGTTGGTGTTGAACAGCCATCACCACTCTGGCGAAGCAAGGTGCGCGATTTTGTCGTTGAGGACTCTGGCTGTTCACAACGTACAATCAGAACGTCTCTGTACAATTATTCTCAATTAAGGTAGATGTACGTGTCTCTCATACTATTGAATGCTAGGTTCTGTCAGCAAGATTCCCAACTCGCCCTCGATAAACCCCATGAATAGGAGATGACATACTATCGCATAGGCATTCTCACTAAGACCGTATACGGCTTGCAATCTTATCACAGCTTGAGTCATGTCGAGATCAAGGCAAAACTTGAGACGACGTATGTATTTCCCGACTCCACGGATGCTATCCTCATTTAGAAACGTTGTCGTAAGCTGTACCCAATTCTTCTTCTAGATTATTTCGAGCACTTCTCAGAAAGAACGACAAACTGATATAACTCCCGCTCGTTTCGAGAGTGGAACCAGCTCACAAAGCAGAGACACGCGCCTTAAACTACCAAATGCATCAAATCCTGTTTGGGCTTGAGTTCAGAGTGTCTTCAGACCCGCCATACCCTTGCAAAACTGCCACCTTCCTGTGCCGGAATCTTTCCTATCTCTTGCCAAAGCCAAGCCACCACACGAGGGTAATCATCGAAAGATTCAGACGGGCAAAAATCGTGAAAGTGAAAGCCCTTAGCCGATCAATAGGTGCGATGCTAAGTCTGCATGGCGGGCAACATGGCCTGGTCCGGCAAAAGCATGGACGCGTCAATAGGGATTTGTCCAGGCCCGTCCAGCATCATAATCTCCCAAAACGACTGGTCCATCGCCACTCCCCCGAGCCAAGACATGTTCGGGTCTGTCATCATCCCCACGTGAGGAACCATTTGCGCTTGCTGCTGCTGCTGTTGCTGCTCCTGCTGCTGCTGGTGCTCCGTCGCCATCTGCTCCTGAGGCGGCTGCCCAACAACCTTGTTCAGGTACCACTGACGGATCCACCTCGCCCGGTACGCATAATTCGCCCAGCGCGAGCTCTCGTCCTCGAAGATCCGCCTCTTTTGCCCGACGATCAGCGCCACGTTGTCCGCCTCCTCGAACCGATCCGCCAACCGCCGCGCTATATCGGGAAGGTCAAGCTTCTGGCGCGCCAGCATCACGTCCCAATCACTTGCCGAGTCTTCCAATAGCAGTCGGTGCGAAGACATCATTGTATGTGCTACATCTGCAACGGTGTTGAAGGGTAGATATGCAAATGCTTCAGCCGGGATGGCGAGTAGCGCGTCCATGGCGATCTGGATCGCCTGGAGGCAGAACCAGAGTGACTCGGTCCTACTGAACTGCTCCATGGCGGACATAGCCTCCGAAGGGCTGGCTCCTCGCATGCCGATGCATGGTTCGTATAGTCTAACCATCAGTGCGCCGTAGTGTGCCCAAACCATTGCTAAACGACGTGTACGGTTAGTATAATTGACTGTGGGCTCGTTTCCTTGTTGCCGAGAAGTTCACTTACGGTTCTCCTTCTTGATGGCGGGTTCTTCAGACTCGAGAGAGCAGATCTCTTTGCGAAGTGATGCTAGCACCGCACTAAAGTGTTCCCGAAAGATGGGTAGAGGCTCCCCTTCCTCTCTATCTGGGCTTGGAAAGACAGCGCGAATGCGGTCCCCTAGATGTTGCATGCGAACGAGGGCAAGTAGATTCTGATCTGTCGGTATAGCGTCCGCCTCGCGAATGGCTTTGGAACATCGTGCGATCTGGGGCGTATACTGTATCTGCGAGTGCCTCCTTATGGCGGCGGGCACACTGGCAAAGATTATCAGTTTCGTTCTACGCTTCACTATACAAAAGCGGGCGAAAGGTAACACACCTTGACGCAATAAAATAGCCGCCTAGAATTGCTCTTTGCTCTTCAAGAGTTGGTTTTGGTGCTTCGAATTGTTTTCCGCCCCGTCCCAAGACTGCCCACGCATCATTCAATAAGGTTTTCGGCATCCAACTCACGGGGCCTGCTAGAGTGTACATGGTCATGTCCATAACCAGACCGATGGCTAGCTGGAGGAGGGTGTTTGCGTTGATACCCATCTGTAGGTGGACATCGCCCCTGTAAGATGCAAAATTATCAGATAATCACGCTTCGACAACAGCACGGGCCCGGAACCAATGCATCGAGAAACGACTCATTACTACCACTTACCAGGCGACATAGACAATCAAACCTTGGAGCAGCTCAATCTTCTTCTCCTTATGAACTATGATGTGCATAGCTGCATGCTTGCGGACCCAGTCGTCGACTGACTTTTGTACTGTGGCTGTCTGGGGTACAATGGCTTGCATAATACACCAGAACAAAAATCGCTTCTGGTTGTGGAGATCCCTTGCTGTAACTTCGGGCTCGATGGGCACAAATGGAAAGTTGGGAACCATACGCGTCCGGTAGATGGAAAGGTACTCCTCAGCCTTCTCGGCAGCGATGGTGAACCCCGGCAAGAGCTGATAGGAACCGCTGGGAAACCCAGCCTCTGGAGTCGGCATAGAATGACAATCTTGGGTGCCGGCTGAACTGTTAACACTTGGAGATGCGTCTGTGCTTACTTGATGGGTGACGCCTGGTATAGTCAACCCAGTGCATGGCATCAAGCGCGGGTCCTCGCTGCTGGGGCTGGGCCCGGTTGCCGGCTGCCCTTGTGTCTCTCCTGACTGCTGCTGTGTCTGAAAAAGGCTGACTAGGCCATCTATCTTCTTCTCCAGCTCAGTTACACGACTACGGAGTAGGCATTTAGCTTCAAGTTCTGCTCAAAGACCCCAGTAAGGGGAAGTGAGAAGGAGGACCGGGTGATCTGCAGCTAGCTTGAAAAGCAGGATGCAACAAAACACATTCCGTGTGAATTCATCGGGTCTTTGGACTGACCTTGACTTTCCCCGTTTCTTCCTCGGGACCGGCTCCGGTACTTGACATCGTATGCTCATGCGGGAGCAGCTTGTCATACCAGCGATGTCAGCGGGCTCTGGTTGATACACACAACTGTAGCCAACAGAGGCAGAACTGCTCACCGTATGCAATCGGCGTGTTCGCTATGTTCCGAACCCGGTTGCCACCGACACCGTATCTTGAGGCGAGCGCAATTGGTGCAAGCTCGGGACTTCTTTGTGTGACTATGCGCAAAGTCGGGGCTGCTGGCGTCATCGTTTGGCGACATCGTTTGTAATGTTTCCCAACAACAACCCGAGCTTAGAGATATTTACGGAGCATTCGCGTCTCAGAAAATGGAGACAGAAAATGTGAATGAGAGTAAGGGCACTTTGGTTAGGCGCGAATTAGATGGCAATGTTGGGGCGAGGGAGCTCGAGAGTGATGGAACGGACGGCATGCAAGAGTCCGGGGGCCGGTGCATTCTTAAGATCCGTAGATGGATTATCGGAATGTAAGGGGGCTACTTGATTGGCTTCATCACCGTTGTGGAGGACGGCGTCGGAGGTCATTTTCAGCCCAGACATCCGACTTTTCACACCAAAACTGCTGCCCTGGGCCCAAGCTCCTTTGTAAACGGCGGCCGCCAACATCCAAAGATCTTTTTCCTGCGTCCGAGTATCCACTGTAAGCACCAGTGATCCTGACACTGTTGCGTGTGTCGGACTCAGTCTTCATCTGCAGAGCTTTAGGGACTTTGTTGTGATTTTTACACGTAATACTAAACATGATTAAGGCTGAGGGGTCTTGACATTTGTGTGTGGCTACTGGCGCTAAACCCGGCTTGGCATGCTGACTTTGACATGTCTCCCGTGTTATTCTCCGTACGGACCGGTAACATGATGTGGGATCTGCATATGTAGAAGGTGAAAGATTCAAAGTCGATGAGTCTCATACTAGTCATGAAGAATGATTATATTTAAGAAAATAGTCGCTGGGCAGTGAAATTGAACATTTGGCATTCGCACAAGCAACCACACCACGCTTTGCAACTTTATTTGACCAATTTCATTGGTACCATCAGCGAAGATGCCTGTCGAACCAAGGTGGGTTCACACTGCAGCTACTATGGGGGCTACGGAGACACGTTCCGGGCTTGATGACCTAACAGTGTCCCTAGAACGACAACCTCACTCTCGATACCACGAACGAGTGGAGAGAAGTTCAGCGATGCAGAACTAGAGAAGACCTCTCCAGCCCAAGATGCCACCGCAGAAGAGTATCCCACTGGTGCGAGCCTGGCCATCATCACAATTGGCCTATTCCTTGCGGTTTTGTGCTTTGGACTTGTACGTGTCAATTGCTTTCTGGGGCATTGTGTCTCCCTGTCGATGCAACACATGGCTGACAGCACCCATCCTCATCTAGGATCGCTCAATCTTGGGAACTGCGATCCCGGTAATCACATCCGAGTTTGAGTCTTTACCGGATGTAGCGTGGTATGGCTCCGCGTACCTCTTCACCATGTGTTCGTTCCAGCTCTTTTTCGGCAAATTGTACGCCGAGTTCAACGCCAAATGGGTCTTCCTTGTTGCTCTCTTCATCTTTGAGGTGGGGTCCATTGTCTGCGCCGTGGCTCCGAGCTCCGTGGTTCTTATTGTCGGCCGAGCCATCTCCGGAGTCGGTGCCGCTGGACTCATGTCCGGCGCTCTCATTGTAAGTCTTTCCAATAAGGTTTGGCGTTTCTCGATTTCTACGGAACCTTATTGGCTAATCCAATCGCGACTCAGATTTTGGCTAGAAGTGTGCCTCTTCATAGACGCCCGCAGTTCACCGCAGCAGTTGGCGCGGCGGGCGGAATCTCGCAGTGCATAGCGCCGACTCTTGGCGGCGTCTTTGTTGATAAGGCTACTTGGAGTAGCACTTCTATTACCCCCTCATCATGTGATGTAGCAGGACACTGACGCACATCAGGATGGTGCTTCTGGATCAACCTTCCTCTTGGCGGTGTGACCTTCCTGGTGGTTCTCTTCCTCCTGAAGCTACCGACACCGCCTAAGAAGCAGACACAAAGCGTGCGGGAGTTTATTTCAAACTTTGACTTGGTAGGGACACTGCTCCTCATACCTTGGATTATCTGTCTCCTCCTCGCCTTGCAGTGGGGCGGAACTGAATATCCCTGGAGTAATTGGCGCATAATCCTGTGCTGGTGCCTCTTTGCGGTCTGCTTCCTTTTATGGGCACTAGTCCAGTTCCGCGAGGGCGACAAAGCCACCGTCCCATTTCGCATCCTTTTCCAGAGGTCTATGGCCTGTGCTTGCTGGCTTATGCTTCTTCTGTTCTCACTTCTCTTCATCGAAGTGTACTACATCCCTATCTGGTTGCAAGCAGTCAAGAATCACTCTGCCTATCAGAGTGGCATTGACTTATTGGCATCATCGGTTTCCTTGTCAGTGGCTACAATACTTTCTGGATTCTTGGTAAGTTGATAATACATGTGCTGTCCATCCTTGGGTCGCTACACCGTGATACTGATCAATTGTCAGACAAGTCACATCGGATACTACGTCCCGCAACTCATCGCTTCATCTGTTATCGCCTCTATCGGAACGGGGCTGATCTACTCGTTTGACGAAAACACGAGTTCAGGCTTCTGGTATTATTTTAACTTGCCCCGAATTTTCAACGCACTTCAGATGCTAACAACCGCGGTAGGATTGCCTCACTTGTTCTTTTAGGAGTGGGCGTGGGTCTGGGCGGGCAGCAGACGTTGATAGCAGTTCAGACCGTGTTCCAAGGTCGTGACGTAGCCCTAGCCACGTCTCTCTTGATTTTCCTGCAAAGTCTCGGTGGCACCGTGTTTTTGGCTGTCGCTCAAAACATCTTCCATTCGAGACTAATCTCCGAGTTGAGCCAAAACGTCCCCAACGTAAACCCGGCAGTCGTCATTGACGCGGGCGGTTCCGGACTAGTGGAGTCGATGCGGAGCATCTACCCGGATTCAGTCGACGGCATTATCGGAGCTTACAACAAGGCTCTCCAAAACGTCTTCCTGATTGCCACTGTTCTCGGGTGTTTGACAGTTTTTGGGTGTGTCTTCATCGAGTGGAAAAGCGTTAAGAAGGACAAGACGAAAGGCGGCCAGACTCTGGGTCAGACGAAAAGAGACGGAGACGCGGAGAAGTAGAGCTACTATAGATCCCGGAACTTCCGGTAGTTAACGACTTAAGCATGTATCACTGTGCAATAGTGCGGCTTGGAATTGGGAATAATGGCGAAGCACTTTCTATAGACAGTGAAGGGTAGGCGAGGTCTGTTCTCAAACAGGGCAATAAAATCGTAGGTGTCACAGTCATACCATGCGCACGTTCCCGTTGACGTCGATCTCCCGATGATTTCAGCGTAAAAGCTCTCCTGACGTTAAGAGTCAATACTCAATTCGTCTCCCGCGCGCGACGAAGCACAAATTTCAGAGCCGCAAACACCCTAGCGATATGTGCAAACTATTAATTGTTTGTGCCGATCTCCCGCCAGTGCCAGCTTCAACGCTCGGAGATCCCCCACGGTCAAGGGGGGACCGAAGGGGCCAGCCGGGGGCCCACGCCTCTTTCAATCTCTCGAAACGACGCCGCAACCGTTTCATCCGTTTGCGAGCTTTAGCTTGGTAATCGTGAAAGAACTCCAGGCTTAATACTCAGCCAGCCGACTGCCGGCTCAATGGCAAGCTTGGATGTTGCCCGCGTTGCCCGCAACTTCGTTCCCTTGTTGGTCACTGTCGTCCCAACGCCGAAAGGACCTGACACGAGGAGACAGCTTCTTGATTGACCGGCCTCTCCCCTCCTGGCCAAGAAGCGCGAGATGATATCCCCCCTCTTCTGATTAATGTTTAATCCCCCTTGATTTCTTGGTGCCAATTTCTAAGCATGCTTCGGTATGCAGTGCGGCCGAAGAAACGAAACATGCCACGTTTGAGGGATCCGACACCTCTCATTGGACAACTCGGGTCATCTCATCTTTTGAGATGCCCAAGCTTCGCTGCTACCCCTGCTGATCACGGCAACTCGATTACTCCAACTGTGCGATTTTAAGTCTACTCGGTCTCATGATCGGGAGAAGCTTGCCCAGTGCGGAAGGTTAAGAGAGAAAAGGTTCGTATTAGCGGGTGAGTGGTGTCGCCGTGCATGTCCCGAAGGTGCTGATAGTTTGAGATCCTGCATGCTGTGATAGTTAGCTTAAATATCATAGAGTCCTCTGCCCCTCTCCTGCAGGACATTGTCCTTTGTAGTATTTTCAGTGTCATCATATCGAAGCAGCGTCTCCTCGTCTTAGCCGTGCCAGCCAGTAATCCGTACAGGATCATCGAGTGTCAAAGTATTCAAGATGAAGTTCAGCATCGTCGCCGTCTATCTCTCTGCCTTTGTAGGAGGCTCCTTAGCTGCCGCTCTCAGTGGTAAGTATTTCTCACTTACAACACAAAACTCTACTTTCGTAGCTTGTGGCTCACATCTTCGATAGAGCGTCAGGCACCACCTGCACCAGGCCCCGCTCCCCCAACGCCCAAGGTCATCCCCGTTGTCGTCGGGAGCCCGACTCGTGAGAAGTCTCTACTTTTCTATCCTGAGGTCGTAAAGGCAAACCCTGGCGACATTGTTCAGTTCCAGTTCTGGCCCAACAACCATACCGTCACTCAGGCCGCGAACACCCAGGCCCCGTGTAACCCTCTCCAGGATATGATGCCAAATGGCGTTCATTCTGGTTTTATTCCGGGAGTCACAGACGGCTCTCCAGTCGGCACTTTCAACGTGCAGGTCGAGAACACTGAGCCCATGCTGATGTACTGCGCTCAAGGCATGCACTGCCAACTTGGCATGGTCATGATCATTAACCCGTAAGAGAGCCCTGGCTTATCCACCCTCCAAATTTGACAACACTAACAACCCACCAGTAAGGCGGACGCCGATGTCCAAGCGTACAAGATGGCCGTCAAGGGATCACAGATGAACGTCCCTGCCAAGAATGTGGCTGGTGGCTCTGCGGGCAGGATTCCCTCCAATTTGGCTGTTCCGCCTGTTGTGTAGAGGAAATGGCGCATATAGCGACTGATGTCACAGTGCACTTAGATCAAATCAACCAATCGTAATTTACGTTTACATGATCGCTCATCGTCACCTACCAGTTTCGGCGAAGGATACAGTTCAATAAGGTGGAGGCGCTGCTGATGCGGGTTGTCGGCTAGAGCTTCGAGGATTTTTTGTGTGCGCGGAGTCTGGTTGGTT